TTATGGCTGAAGGTATCCAAGAATTCTCAACGAGAAGAGCCTATCGCTGTATCGTTAGGTTGACGAAACTCAACCTAATCGATATAGCGGGACTAGGAGATATAAACGAGCAGGATATCGAAGAGTTACAAGCAGGTTTCTGGTGAGAGCCTTACCAACAACGACCTTCGAGAACTGGCAGAACACGGAATTCACGTGGAACTGGAAAATGTTTGTTTGTTTGTTTTGCTAAGTTATGGCAACGCAACACTTGGGCGATCTGCCTAGGGGAGGTCTTTTTAAGGGAAACTGGCCCCTATTTAGGCGTTACAGAGGTGGAGAAAACCCGGAAAACTCTACGTGGCCAGCCTGTCCGAGCGAGGCGCGAACTCACGACCGAACTCCCAGTGTTCAGAGTACGAAGACCGCTTGGCCACTGGTGGGCCAACTGGAAAATAGAGATTCTGAAAACGAAGAACCAAAAAAATTTCTCTATAGATTTCGAAACTTAGTAAAAGTTTCAGTGGCATACCGTCATTGGAAGCGGTGGATGCGACGCTTCCCTCGTATTTTCTAAAAAATAAATACATATTAATTTTAATTATAAGAAAATAATCGCACAATATTTTATTATAACCGCATTATGTATCTTATTACAAATTTCTATACTACACGTGAAAAAAAAGATAAGATCGCTGTTGTATAATCGAATATTAGTGGCGGGGGAAGCACTATATCGTCAGCATCCAAAAAAGCCAGATTCGCGCACGCGCTTTACAGAACACCAACCTCACCCGGTTTAGCCGGTGAAAGCCTAGAACCTCGGGTGGATGCTACACGTATACCGCATCCAATTCTATCCGGGACCGGTTCTGGGCTGTTAGCCGCCCGCCAGTTAGGTATTTGGCCGCCCTCGCCCGATTACGCGAATCACGAGTAGATTTATAACTTAGCCCGACCAATAAGAATTTACTGGTACGTTTTTATGATAGTTCTGTATAGTTGATAGAAGTTAAAAAAAATCCATTAAAATATTTGATATATTTATTCCGCTCTCCGATTTTATATTACTCACGGATTTCAATGTTAAACCAGTGATATTACGATTTCGTATGTCCCATCTATAAGGGGATATAGAAAAAAACGTGTACAATTCTTATACAATGTTAAAAAATTAACTGTTACTTCGATAGCATCATTTACAACTAAATTTAATGAATGAGAGAAATGCACGAGGCACAGAAAAAGCTCTAGAATTTATTTTCCTTAAATTTACAATTTATGTATCCGTTGTCATAAAAATTTGTCTTTCCACTTTTTTCCCGAGACTACAAATATTCGAGTACGAAGTAACCGGTTTCGACTTATTTCTACTTAAGAAGTAGTTAAATAATTAAGCGATTAGGAAATTGGGGACATAAACGAAACCCTGATGAAAGAGCTGAAATTTTACTTAAACAAAAGCTTAACCGAACCATCTCTAGCCGAGTACAGTGGAGACTGATTTCTTCGTATTATTAATGTAATAAAGACAGAAATTTTTCCAGTTCAACGAGAGTGACCGAAAAGTTGTAAATTTTGGAAATTTCTGAGGACACTTGGTTCTAAAACGAATTAGTTAAAAAACAAATGATTAATAAGTTTAACATATTTAGACTTTTACAGCTATGGTGAGAAACGTTTAAAATCTACAACAGCCCTGTCGCGTCTTTTGAGATATATAGTAATGCGACAAAAGAGGCATTTGACATTAACCGGTATGGGCACCCTCGGGATTTGGCAGCCCGCGTGCATGCACGCACCGCACACCTAGCAGGACCGTCTCTGATTCCACTCGTAGGGAGCTATTTGACCAAATGGTTAAGATTTAAAAGGTAAAGAAGATTTTATGTTATTTTTATGTACGTTGCTTTACAGAGCTATATTTAATTATAATTATCTTTAAAAATATATTCATACAATTGAAGAATATTTTGTACCAGGTACCAGGTACATACATTATATTTTATTTCAACAAGTAAGTTTTTATAATTTTATTTTTAATTTTAGCCCTTATATCGTGGCTAGCGATTCGGGATGTAATTGCGATATTGAAAATTTATTTTAAAAAGTTTTGGCTCGAGATCGTATAATGAAAAAGAAAACATTATTAAAAGAGAAAGGCCAATGCCTAAGTTAAATATAAACGCTTCAATAAAAAATTTGTTCGACATTTTCACGATAAAATGTCTCTGTAAATGCATAAAAATGCTAAAATTGTTTTGTTGGCTTGCCTACTATTTTCAAATGAAATTAGTGTGTGGAATAAGAATGTCTTTGACAATTTAGCTGGCAAAAGACACGAAAAATCGTCGATTCTTTCGTATTTGAAGCAATTTGGAAATCGAAGCGGAATAGAATTTAACATTAGTAAATAATATAAAATAAATATTGAAAATTATAACGAGATAGTTAAGGCTAATAGATATATTTAAATTAATAAATGTTATATGTTTTTATCAAAGCGAGAATCGGCATTTAGAGGGCATATTGAATCTAATAACAGAGGTAATTATATTGAACTTGTTTATTTATTAATTACGTCAGATAAATAATCTATTAAAAAATACATTTAAAGAATTAACTGATTGCCTCTGGAAGTCGGTTTCTTACAGAAGAAACACAGCTTCCCCATCATCAAAAGTCACGGCACGCCACTGAAAAGTTTGCCAAAATCGTTGATGAAATTGTAGCGAATGATCCAGATTTTGAAAGGAGTGCAAAAGTAAGACGAGGCGTTTTGGGTGCGATCTTCTGCTTCCGACATTTGCTTAAGGAAAGGGGAAAAAAATGACAAATGAAACTTCACGGCTTTATTGCAAAAGAACAAGAATTTCAGAAAAGTCACAAAAAAATGAACTTTATATTTCTGTATGCATATGTTTATGTGTTATTTAACATTTGTTATTATACAAATTAATATAAAAATAACTTAAAATTAAAGGAAAATTTGTTTATTTTTGGTCGCGTGTTCCTCTATCTCTATTTACTATATGTTAATGATATCGTTTAACGCTGTTTCGCTTAGCGCTTTGTTGTCTAGGAACGCATCCACCGCATTAAGCGGGGTCTTACTGTACTTTATTATCACATAAAAGCAATTATTCTCGCATTATTATACGATTTTTTTTTATTATTTATAAAAGTCATATGAAGTCAACGTTAAGGTTAGCAACTTCGATCACATGCGGGGGCCATCACAACCTATCTAACACTGAGCACTTTTCGAACATTAATAGTAGTCCAGTATTAATTAGTAGTCATTGACCATCCTCTCTTCCGGGAGGAGGTCAACGACTACTTTTGATCGAATTACTTCAACCCACTTCCGCGATAGTCCCTTTTTTCTATCGAACCAACAGTATGGTGGCATTCGAATAGGAAAATTATATAATACAAGATTACCGGCCAGCACAAGATTTGTATTTAATTGGTTTTCGAGGGTATCGAGTTAAAATATTACGTAAGGGTTTATCATGCCGAGTGACAAATCTAACACATTTTAAAAATTCTTTATTCCTCTACTGTACACAATATAAAGAACTTTTAAAATGCGTGACGTTTTCTCGTGTCAAGAGTATTAGTTTATTTACTTTAATAAATATTTTTTGTAAATATACATCACTTAATCTCAGTTATTGTCTGAAGTTACAATAACTAATGCTGCTTTTTTTTTGGTGGGAAATGATCAATATATCACTTGAATGGTTTAAGAGGAGTAATTATACAAAGTAGCAAAGAATTTTTCAGTATTTTTTTTTCTCTTTTTACATATGCCATTCTCATTATTTATCAAAGTCACAGCGAATAATTTTGCGCAAGTAAGCTTATTTATTGTCTGTAAACATGAAGAGGCATCATTAGATTCGTATGCGTTTTGACGTTTCATTGTTTTCTATGCACCAGATGATGGATCACACTTCATACTCTTTAACCCCGAATCGCATTAATTTCCATTCCGTGCAATTGGTCTGTCTCAGAGAGGTCATTACCATAATTAACCTCTTAGCTGTATGTCAATGAGATTACAACGATGACAGGACAAAAACCTCGTTTCAAGTCGTGAAAATTTCTCCAATGAACCTTGACACTGAGTTTTCTGATGCGAAATTAAAATCGTTACTCGCTCTGTCGACTGTAACTAGTCACGTTTTACTATATTTTTAAAGGTATAGATGTTAATCATAGGCACAACCTTCGTTATAAATTTCAATTGTTCATTGACAGATAGTGATTTAAACAATAACTTCTATTAAAAATGAATATTTAAAATTATAAATGTTAAACTTGACAGTTGACTTCTTGTTTTTTTTATGATTTTTCCAGTAGGATAACGTTGATTCTTCTTACTAAGATTGATATAAGAATTGTTTGTATAGGCTTGACGTGAACTTTCTGAAATATTGTTCTGTAGATAAAAACAATTCCATTGTGTTGAATTAACGTAATAAAAAATTACAGATTATTTCTTTAAAATTAATTTATTTCAGTTAACTTATCTGATGAAGAAAGAAGGGGATTAAATAGCGTGAAAGAAATTACATTCAGGAACTTAACTGTAATATTACTATTCTCTAAGACAATCTATTTTACTAGATTATCATCAAATGTCTTGGTAATATATACTGTAAAATACATTGTTTTTTAGCTAAGTTCACCAAGACTCAACACACCAAAAGAATGTAGTGAAGATTCATAGCTATGTATTAGAAGGTTGTAAACTGCTTATTGAAAATAGCTTCATAGCATATTTCATTTGTTCTATTTATATAAAAGAGCTTATTCAAAATGTACACTCATCTGTTTCCTTATATTTTAAAATTATTTATACATTAATAAATATAATTTCAATGCCACAAACTGTAAAACATTTTAATAAGAGCAAAAAATATACTATCATTTTAGTATAATTTCTTATTAAATAATTAAAAATTCAAACCTTAAAATACATGAAAATTTATATTTTTACAATAATGCTATTAAATAATTTTCATTTTTCTTCGTTACAATTACATTACGAATATTTATATTAGTTTATCTCTTCTCTTTCAATTTTCTTCCTTTCTTTAAACTTTCCTGATATGTGTGGCTTTTATAGCGTTATTTTGAATAATAGGGACAGAATTATCTGATACAGAATCTATTGTAAGATCAGTTCTTTTAGATGGAAGTTTGATATTCTCGTTATAGATTACTCTCATGGGTATTCCATTTACTAAGAACATTTCAATAATACAATTCTCTTTTCCTACTTGATATATGCAATCTCCTATAAGCGGTAGATTGACTGTGGGAAACAAAGTAGCTATTCTGCAAAATTGTATTACTCCGTCTGTCATGTATCTAGATGATAATTGTACTTTTGGACGATTTTTCATCTTTTCGTATGTTACTTCGACTTCATTATAGAAGTCGAGTATTGGTATTTCGGTCGTTTTGTTCAATAGAACCGATAACAATAACACTGACAGAAGGGGCAATAACAATAGAACTATTGAGTACCAATGTAATTTTATCCACCGAAGTATTTCTTCACTATGTATAGCACTGTGTGTGAAATGAATGCATAATCCATTTCTGGAAAGTAAGTCGAAGTTATTAATAAAAAAAAAGTATGGAGAAAATAAAAATAAACTTTAAAAAATTTATACTGTTTACTCGTTACAATATCCAGTATGGTTGTCGCAAAACGTAGAGAAGCGATAAGGATGAGAACCGAATTCAAATAGAGAAATAGATTGGCAGCGATTTTTGGAATTTCTACAGCAGACTTCACATCCTTTTTGACATTGGCATTCCTAAAATTAGAGTATAGATATTGTAATTTTAAACTTCTTACATTATAAATAATTATTAAAGCAATTTAAAAATACATTAACAATAAAAAATACTATTTAATAAATATAATTAACGGATTTTTTTGTGGGTTTTGTAAAGGACAATGTCTAAATTTTCTCGCTACAAACAATACTGAAGGAGTTGAGAGACTCCTGTCCTAAAATTGATTATGAAATGTTCAGCAACGTGTGGCAACAGATAGAATATCGATACAATATTATATTCGTTGCGCTCAATTGAATTTTCTATACGTCCACACAACTATTTGTTGTTGTTTCAGTTGATGTGTGATCCATAAGTATACCATTCAGCTGTGCTCAAAAAACAACGTATCAAAATAGAAAAGAACGTTTACAAAATAAATATATTGTATTGTGTGTGCGAATTATCAATCTATCATTGTAAATATTTCGTTATTAATCAATCACATTTTTTAAACACAAATCTCTGTCTGTTTGGGGAAATTTCTGTGAAATTGTTTTTTTAAGTTTAAACAGCAATGGAATTTAGGTGTATTAGTAATCTAAGAACTTATCAAGATATAGATTCTTGCAGAAACTTACGATTTCTTAATAATATATTAACTGAAAATTCAGATTAAACATGTAAGAAGCAATGGGAAAGCCTTCCCTGTTTGAAGAAAATAACCAAATTTTAACTGAATCACTATACATTTGATTTGATATCTTAATAGGCCTGCCTACATTAGCGAATTTTAAAGTATCTAACATAGTACTGTATGCATAGTCTGTATTTAGATGTGTAACCATAGTATTTAATTATATTTCATTACGTATTAATCGTTACCTGTAAGTCATACTTAGTGCAAATAGATGAGTTGCATATTCCTGCTACACATGTTACAAAACCCCTACAAACAGTGCCGTCCTTTCGGATTTCTGGAGTTGGGCATTCGGCTGTCAGACCATTACACGTAGAAGTCACTAGGCATTCATTCCAGTTTTCTCCACATTTCTTTTTATTTGAAGCCGGGACGATTTTTCCATATTCTGTACAGCAAGGATAATATGTAATACAATCATTCGATTTTTTCTCACTCTTGTGACTGGCGATTTTATCAGCTGAAGCCATAAAAAAAAAACATTTGATGGTATCAAATCAATTTGAAAATCGAATCATATAAATAATTCTATATAAATAAAGATATTGCAATAGCCTTTTTGACCTGCTGGAACAGGTTACAGGATGGTGACCAAGACAGATATCTTTCGGGTTAAGTTTAATGTAATTAAAAATTCTAAAACGCAAATAAATAAATCTACTTGGAATTTAATTTTTGTTTTCTTATTGTAAGATGCCATTATATTTAGTATTATAAAATGACAAATTCCTGACCATCGAAAACGATTTTCTAAAGCACTTGTAACGTTGAATCAAGATAAGATACAAGGAGACAATGCTGTAACGCTATGATAAAGCCCCGATGCATCGCGCTGTGGCAATAAACTAGGGGTCTGTATTTTCACAGCCTTCTTTATCTTAAGGCACACTAGTGGCCTAGGGGATAAAACCACTGAACACTAGTAGTTTGCCGCGATTTGCCAGATTTTATTCATGTGTGTAACACTTTAAAAGATAAATTCCTCCTGGGAGACATTTGCCCTTGGGAGACTGCTCAAGGGCAGGTGTTTCTTATCTTATTAAATTTTTCTTGTTTATGGGGCTTCACTTTTGTAGTCTTCACCAAAATGAAAGTCCTACTGAAGAATCACAGATTAAATTTAGCAACGAGGTTAAAATATTAAGATGATTGGAATCGAGGAGTTACTCAGAATGGTTTCAGATTATTTTACATGTGGTATGAACGTTGACAAAAATGTCTGGCTGCAGATGCTTATTTTGGTGTTCTGTAAATACGTGTACTATCAACATGAAAGTACAGTTTAAAACAATTATATTATTATTTGTTTTTATTCTAATACGTGCCAAGATAAGACAATACAGTGTTCTTTTCTCAAATCTTGGTCAAGCGATGCCAGGCATAAGGAATTTTACAAGTTTTAAAAAAAGTTTACTATAAAGATTTCTCATAATGATTTTGAAAAAAAAATTAAAAATTTAATTCGTAGTTTTATAGTTTTAATAATGGCTTTAAAATCTATATCTATAAATGAGAGTGTTTGTTTGTTTGTCTGTTCGCTATACACTCTTAGACACTCCGAAAAATTGTTACGAAATTGGGCTATTACTTTAACATACTTCTAACTTAGATAACGTCGTACATCTTAATCCAAAATATTGCTTGTATTTTCATATAGCAATTAATTTTTTTTTACATTGAATTTGGTATATTTACATGTAGCTCTATCTATCAGCAAAAAATTCTAAAAAGAATAATAAACTATATATATTTCATATAAAAAAGGGTATAAGTAAAAACACAAATATTATAGTATATTCACTTAGTTACTACGACAATAACATAGCGCAAAGTAGACGCTCTATATTATTACTTTGATAAGTAGCACATAGCACTCACATGTGTGGAATCGAAACTGTTGCACTGGTAGTTATTGGTGGTTAGTTGGTCATGGGTTCGCACATCGCCCACGGGCTGGCCATGTATAGTTAGTTATACGGGTTTTCTTCAAGTTATTAACACCAAAATAGGGGCCAGTTTTTCATAAAACTTCTATCGGGAAGCATGCCCCTCGGCAGATCTCGTTGCCGTAATCAAATAAACCAAACTAATTGTAATAATTTACCTATAAACTTGCTATTTACGAACACATACGTCCACGTAGTTTATGGGCATTCTAATAATTATAATGGATTTACTACGTACATTTTTGAAATTTACGATTAATAACGCGAGTTGTAAAAATTCCTGCTAAAAGGTACTTTATAAACCCTGGCATAACAGTTAGTTATAAAATAAAATACTCCCTTGTTGTGTGTATAACATATTAGATTCATACTTCTGAACGGAATCGGAAACGAAGAAAGTTGCTTCAGATCTAGCAGTGATTCAATGTAAGTTACATTTTCAATCTTGCAAGAAAGATTTTCGAGATGTTTTTCATACTTTTGAACATCGGATTTTTTAAAAACATTTTGAAACTTCTCTTTTATAATTTCACAATATCGAGAATTTCGTTGGAGTTTTCTCTTACCGGACTGTCTTTTATACAAAAACGAAAACCAATTAGTATTTACATTAATAAATATATTCCAATAATGAATATTTTCTATAAATAATATCTTGTCATTTGAATCCACGTTCGAAGCACAAAGACAGATCGAATCTTCATTTTTAGAAAGTGATATATTTCCAGAAAGTGTGGCAAATGTATGGCGTTTTTGATATAATACAGGAATTTGTAGCTCACAATTAATTTCTAACACCAAATAAATAATCATAAGATGATTGATAATATAGAAAATATTCATAATAATTTTTATATTCTGCGGAAAAGAAACTAATTTGAATTATCTTAAGAATCTAAAAAAACAAATGAAAAATCCCATTATTATTATTATTATTATTATTAAGTAATTTTGTTATTTTTGTATAAAAATGATTTCATCAATGGAAATTAATTCTTTAATAAATCAAAACTTTCTTATATTTTTTGCATCCTTAAAGTTAAATGACAATTAGCTTGACTGTCTGCAACGATAATAATGAAAATTAATTGAATTTTTTTTAAAATAACAAATTACTTTTTTCTTTGATTTTATATTTAAGAGTTTTTTCTTTAATTGAGAAGAAAATGTGTTAATCTCAGTTAACTGGAGATATCGTTAATGACTGAAGTGAAAGAAAAATTACAATCGCCCAATTTTTCTGTAAGTAACTCATTACTTAATTGATATATTGATTTGCAATTAGTGATTTTTTTTTGTTTTTAATTTTTGACGAGAAAACTCTAATAGTAGGGAAGATTTTTATTAACTCTTTCCTTCTTATGGACTCTAAGAAGTCATTTTTTTTTTAGTAAATTCATTATGTGTTCGGTCAAGTCCAAGATCAGGCGGTGCGGGATGGGAGATCTCTGAAAAATATCTGGGGTTTTTTCGACCCGTCCGGTTAATGGTGTCATGGTATGTCTCAAGAATGTGTAAGTGAATAAGTAAAATTCAACCAGCTTAGGCTCACCTGTTATTAACAATTGCCAACTCTTCTGGACTCGTCTCGGAGGGACGTTGGTAGAAAGAAAACTGTGCTGAAGCGCTCATTTTTTGTTTGTAGAGAATTTAGCATGAGATTTAATTTGCGTGCTTCCTTATTTTACCATGGAGGTACAGTACATCGCCTAATAAATCATTTTGCAACGAAAATTTTATACAAAGCCGAAAATAGCTATTTTGTCTTTCCTGCTGTTCATTTTAGACAGCGTGCAAGTAAAAAATTGTCAGAGTATCATTGTTAACAATAAAAAAAAATGATTCGCCGGAAAGCAAGCAAGGAAGACGAACCAAACTTTACTTCATTTTTACTTCTTTTACGTTAATTTTACTACATTTACTTTAACTTAAAGAGTTCAAAAAAGGACATTCCGGAAACAAGGCATTAGATCGCTTTGACTGTGCTGTGATTAGACGAACAATCCGTTTCTACGTAGAAGAGAAGAAAGACCAATCAATTCCTAAATTATTGCCTGTTTTAAAAGAAATGATCAGTTTTCCTCGGAAGAAAGTGAGATGCCATTTAAAAGCATTTGTTTTCTTTCGAAAACATTTTTCTACACGTAAATATTCCCTTCAGTATCAGAAAAGCACTACCCCTATTTTACAAATAGATCGATTTAGTTCGCACATCGCGCTACTTCTCGTCTAAGTTGCCGGACAATCAATATTTTTTCACGGACTTAACCTTAATTTTCATAATACAAACGTCTTCTTAAAGCTTTTCTTTATTTAAAGGATTAACTCATTTGCATAAAGGATCCTTAACTCCTTTGTCCATTGCATCCTTAACTCATTTGCATAAAGTAAACAATGGGCAAATAATGACACAAAAGTAGAGTAACAACAGATACCTAATGTCATTTAAGTTTAAAATTTTTTCAGGTCACCTGTTCTAAATAATAAAAGTTATTCTTCTGGATTGCCTTACTCGTTGTTTCTCAAAAGAATTTTATCTATTTGTGTATTTTAAGAGTTAACTTGCAAACAGAGATAATCACACGAAAACAAATTTATAAGGGAAATTTTTGTAGTTTTAATGAGTTAACAGATGATAATCTATGAAAATTTAAAATATGTTTTTATATTCATACATTTTATTTGCTGTGATCTTACGTTTTTTCATTATTGAAAATGCAAAAACATCAACAAATAAATCAGAAATATTATACTTATAACCTTTAATTAGTTCAGTTTGGACTTTCAAGCGGACACACGGCTTTAATTAAAGCAGTTTCACGTCAATAAACTGTGAGATAATTAACGATATTCTTAGAGTAAAGATTTAGCCATACATTATAAAAGTTTTTAGGAATTATAACTCATATCTTATCAGTCTGCATAGTACAATAATATGAAATATGCAGCTCCTCCTTATTTAATCATTAAATTTAACTACAAAATATAATGATTATATAACGGAAACGAACCGAATGAAATTAATTTTAAAATCTGTCCATCATTAATGTAAGAATTAGCCATTTGTGTAAGCTTATAGAAAATTCAGTTATGAGATCAATGCTTCTTCTAATCTTCTATATTTATTAAGAACTTATTATTTCTCATAAAGTAAGGAATGACCTAAAGAAATATTAAAACAAACAAAAGTCTCTACACCTGGGTACACACATACAAGATTTACTTTCATTCTGTACATTAAATTACACATATTGCTATTAAATAAGAGACTGGATCCAAAACTAGTAATGGAGTCTCTTTGGCCAAATTTCTATTCAAATTAATTAGAATATAAGTATATTCTGATGTAATATTGTAATCGATGAAATTATAAATGCCTGTATCGAAATATTTTGAAGAAAATAACGTTAGTAAAATATGTTTTATCAGCAATTAGTCAACAGAAAAGAGTAATATATATACTTTTCTGTATAAACTGTAGCTTACTTAGAAGGAAAATTATAATAGTTTATGAACGAGTGATTACACATATGAAAACTTTACTTTTTGCAGTGAATACTGTTAAATTAAGTAAGGGGATAAAAGGGGTCGTGTGTCATATCTCGAGTAAGGTCGATTTTACTCGTTATTAGCTGGATTTTTTTACATTTAAATGGACCCACGTTACATTTCTGGATTCCTCGTCTCAATTAATGGAAAATAGCAAAGTTTTATCAAAATCGATTCATTAAATTTTGAGGACGAACTCGATTCTATTGATATAAGCCCATAAAATATGTGCTAACAACCGTGAAACGTCGCGCGATTCGTGCGATATCGCTTTATCGCTCGCGCTCGTGAAAACTTATATATCGAAAACGAAATCATAGACCCCATTTTTTATTACATTTTTGGACACCGCATCGCAATTAATAAAAAATGGCAAAATTTAATGTAAATCTATCGAACGGATTTTAAGAACGAACACAATTCCGTAAACCTCATAGAAGAAGCTTCGCTTCAACGAGAAAATAACACACTCTCTCTATGCAAATGACAAAATAAATATTACATTTTCGTGTGACAACAATCTTCTTGACTCTCTTCTGAGAAAATAATAAATACATTTAAGCAATTTACTTCAACAATTTATTTAAAAGAGATTCATCTTTACACAATAAATAAGGATAAGGATATATAAATTATGAAAATTACAAATCAACTCTTGTAGGAGCATTGGCAGTTTGATTTACTTTGTGTCATATAGACTACGTGACATCAATTATTCAAATAGGCCGTCTATCGAAAGTGTCTACAAACACGTCTATAATTGAGTCTCTTTCATCAAAAATTTAACAGATTCTTCAATAAAATGTTCTTTTTTTTCTCATCCTATATTCAGCAGAATGACTAAATTTCTGAGTAAATGTAAAATTTATTTAGTAATAAACTTACAAAATACATTGCTGAAACAATTCAAATTGTTCTATAGTTTTTTTTACATTACATAAGAAATGTGTTTTACATTATATTATATATATTTATATATATAACTTTAACATTTTAAAATTAAAAAAATGTTTACAATATTTAGTTACATAAATTACAATTTATTTATTTAATCGTATTTTGTGCATTACGAGCTTCCATACTAAATTCTTTTTCTAGGTATTATCTTATAACTAGAATGAATAAGTACCAACAAAATACTATTTATGAATATTCTCTTACCTATAAAAAAAAAAGTTTACATTTAATTGGGGATTGATTTAAAAATTTAAATCAATTCCCAATTAAAATAAAGATCCTTTGCCTAAATCAATTAATATTTTATTTTTATATTTTAAAGAATTTATATACACTTATTTTTTAATTAAAATTTCATTTGTAAAATATCATAAATAAATTACTTATTAAATGAGAATAAAGGAAAAATAAGAGAGTTAATAATTTAATTTAGAAGAAAATAAAATTAAAAAGTAATAATTTTTATGCTTTTATTAAAATATTTTCTTTGAATAATTTTAATTCTTCTTTTCTTATAGTTAATTATTACTTTAACTGAATTTAATCAACAATTTATTTATTAAAATTCAACAAAATAAATCTTACAAATATAGAAAATGTAAGAGAAATCATGATTTAAAAAAAATAATAATAATTAAATTAAATAGTTATTTAAGTAACAAAATATTCAAAATATACAAATATATTCTGCTTCATATATTCCTTTAGTAAAGATGTTAAAGAGAACTTTTAAGGTTTTTATTATTTTTTCTTTTGATATTTAAAAAATAATTTATATTTGTGCAAAAAGCACTTTATGATTTTGATTTTGATAAGTGTTTTTTTCTCTTAACAAAATATGAAACTTCTGCCATTTTAATAAAATAATAAAAGAAAAAGTCGAATTGCTAGATGCTATGATACAACACACACCAAATAACAATTCATTTTAAATCATACAAATTAAAAATAAAATTTCTAAGTATATTGAATAGTTTATTTAATATTTAATATTAATTTAATAAAATATTTAATATAAATTAATTTTNTCATTTTCCTTTTCCCGTAAATTAATTTTTTAATTTACAAAACAAGACTTGATAAGGGTGATTGATGCTTGTGTTCTTATTCCTGTTCAGAATTAACTGTTAGATCTATAATAGAATCTGAATCTAACTCTAATAATTCTGAACAACGGGAATAAGATTATTCTCTTTTTTTTTTAGTACGATTATAATTAAATTTACCAGCTAAATATTCTAATTTTCATTAGAATTAAACAATATCAGCAATTATAATTAATTTAACTGCTTGTGTGAACTGCTTCTAATCAATTGACATCCGAAATTGTTCTCAATATTTAACATAGACAACAATTTTAGATAATGCCTAAAGTATTCT